AAAACTCCAAGACCCGCGTGGCAGCAACAGACTATAATAGTAAACGAATCGAACGTACCAACCGACGACAAAAGAAAATTTTTTCATAGTAACGTTATATTACAGTAATAAGATTCCAGTGAAAACAAAACAGCATTCAAGTCAGTTAGTCAAAGACCACTTGTATTGTTTAGTCTTATTTTTTTTCAAACTGCAATTGGCAGTGAAGAACTGATTTGGAGTACAAATAATAAACACCATAGAGTGGCTAGATAAACGTCATAACTAGGAAGTTTTTAGCATCATTGCTGAAAACCTGCCTTTCTCGCCCTGGTCACGGCTAACTGAAAAATCATTCAAAGATGAAGGACAACCACCTATTAAGTCTTTGTTTCTTAATCTACTTTTATTGTGGATGTAAAGAAATAGTTCTAATTATATTGATTTCTTGTTTCGTTTACAGTCACTTGGTTAAATCGTTTGTCACCAACTTCTGCCCCGCGGGTTTTTCCCAACAGTAAACTTTATCCTTCCCTATGTCGATTTGATCAGTACATGGGTAATTAAACCTCAAAAGCAATATAAGACGATATGAAATAGCAACAATGAGCTTCCACTCACTAGGTGTCCGCAAATATACAAGCACAAAGAAGAAGCTATGAACATAAAAAAGCTATAATAATTGGCCAGGTGGTTGAGCCTATATCTCTCCCAATTTTCTTCCATTCGTTCTTTTATATAGTCCACTCCAGTGGCTTCTCTTTTTTCGTTTTACGTTCCTGCCCTTCGGTCTCGAAGCTGACGAGGATTCTCCTTTCATGTCTCACTTATCTTTCTGATAATGGTTATCATCTATGCCCAGGTACCCCAAGAGTGTTTGACCTTTTTCTTCACCCTTTGACGACAGTAAACGCAGGTAGTCTCGAGGTCTCAAGATACCAACCATTAGCTCCTTGTACTAATCTTTAGATTTCAAACCTCATGATCTTCTATCCACAAGAAGCGATCTTAAACCAGCGATTGACTTATTGTTTAATCCAAATCTTAGGCGCCACAAACTTATCGATTGTTTTATGTACAACAAAAGATTTACACTAGCTATTTACCTATTTATTGGGAAAATATTAACAACTGTAGAATGCTTACAAATCCATCAAAAGGAATACAAAGTTAAACTAATGAAGGGAAACGTTATGAATTAAGAAAAGAAGAAAAAACTGCTTTAAATAAAACACAATTTAGCAAACGAAGCTGCCTAACTGGCACAGTTAAAGCTGTCTCCAACGAATTACTTAATAAGACGTTGACGGCAAGAAGATAAAATATAAATAATTGCTAGAAGCAATCGATAGAATCCAAAGCAAGACTTAATCCAACTGATCAATGACAATAGAAAATTATGAATACTTTATCTCTTCATTACCCTCGACCCTTAATCTCTAGTCAAGTCTGCCACTCCTCCCAAAACTTCTTCTCGGGGAGCGTACAGTGACATCAGAGTATTCTCTGAGGCCAAGTCTGCTGCTACTCAAAGCTTCCTTTCGGAAAGCGTACAGTGGCAACTGAGTATTTGTCTATGGCTTTCACGCATGGTCGCGACACTCTGAAAACCAGGGCAAACCAACAGCGCTCCGCCTAAGTGAAATTTTAGGGTTGATTTCTAATTTAAAACAAATTAGTAAAACTTTGAGATAATAAAGAAAAGAATTTAAATACAGCTAGGAGGAAGACATTTAAAAATACATCATGACTATAAATACTTTACAATGAACAATTACATAAATGTACTTTTATCACTAATCTTTAATCTTCTCCCCGTTGAATTTCCTGAAGAGGTCGCCCCACTTGCGATCTTTTCACAAAAAAAATTTTCTGACATGAAAACAAGAAAATAAAATTAAAAATGAAGCTAGCTTTTGTCAATACTAAACCAAGGGGAAAGTAAAAATCGAATAAAAAATCACTGGTACTTGCCAAATCTCTGCCAAAAAAATACTGACAGTTTAAAAAATAAAAAAATTTTGAGCTTAATTTTTTTAAAACAAAGACAGAAAATAAAAACAAACACAGAAAACAAATATATAAATTTGTGATCCTTTAAACGTCTACCTATTCATTAACAAAATGACTATCACTTTCTCCCTGGCACGGCAGGTACCCTTCTAGAATTTCTTCGAATCTCGTCAGTGACAGTCGCGTATCCCCATATCCTTTCATTCAAGTCGTCCGCACCTCTGAATGGGATAAGATCTCTTCACCTCCTGTAATGAAATTACCCTTTCTGTCGCTGAAAGAAGCGAAAAGACTAATGTTGCTTGAAGGGCCCTGTTGCAGAGCAACAAGGAATGTTGTTATTGCACATACTTAGAATAATAGGAATCTTTGAAAACACATAGCTAAAACAATAGACCTTTTGTAGTTCCCAGACGGGTGGCAGGAATGCTATTGTCTGGAACACAATAGGTTAATCACTTACGTAATAATTTGCCATAAAATAACTGCCTATTTAAGCAAAGTGTTGAAAAGTTCCTACAGATAC